ACCATATGGAATGATTTTCCTAATACTTTTATAGAGTAACTAAAGAGTTTATGAATTAAAGTTTAAAATTTTAAAAACGTTTTAAAAACCTCTGCCATCTTCTGTGAGGCCCTTACCCTAAACAATTTTGGTTAGACTTGGTTTCTATACGTTTAAACTCTGAAATCACATGGCAAGCTATTTAAAGTGCTTTAATTAAGCTATTTAATGCATCTGTTAGAATATATACTAAGAAAACACCACAACAGTGCATTTACCTCCTTAGCATTGGTATTAAGACACCCAAACTCAACCACCACTGCATGTCAGAAATGCAGTAATTGTCATAGCTCACTATGACACACCAAACACAGCTGTAAAGGATTCTCATTATAACACTGTAAAAAACTGGCACTAATCTTTATTGGATCAGTATATGCAAGCTCATGCATCAGTACAAGACAGATCTCTCCAAAAAAACTGGTATTTTGGATCCCCTGGGATCCAAAACAAGGGACTACTCCCTACACAATTTGACGTAAAAGCATAGAGAAGCCCTTGAAATCTTACAGCACTGGAACTGAAACAGCAGGCTAGTGACCTTAATCAAAATGGTACCCTTTGGAGTTGTCATCAGAAGTTCAAATAGGATTTTAAATATATAAAACATATTCCTGATTTTCTATTATCAGGAGCACAGTTCAGTCATCGGGTGAAGTTTACATGACAATAGGTTCTCTTTTCAGCTCCATTTTCCTTTTTTCAAGTGTTTCCCCTCATTTCCTTACCTTTTGTCTCCATCTCCCCCAATACTTCTTTCCCCTCCATGAAACTTAGTTCTCTGCTCCTTCCCTGTCATACTTTTGTCCTTCAAACTTTGGAAAAGGCCAGGGGATCTCTTACCATCTATGACAGGGTGCTTGGTATGCCTGTCAGTTTAAGAAGAAAGGCTGTGGAAGCAGCAGCCTGCAGATGTAGCAGTGGCCAAACAGAAAGTCACCTGATCAGAGGGGGGCTGGGCTTAGGGTATATAAATCCAGGGCCTGCACTGGTCAAGGAGTCTAGCCCTGGGAGCCAGAAAGAGGAGCTCCTGGCAGATGGGCTCCTAGCAGAACAGCTGAGCTGGCACTCCTTGCCAGCACAGAGCCCAGGAACAGGGCAGGCCTGAGAACAGGGGCAAGTGAGACCAAAGAGGAGCAGAGGCAGGGCACAGCAGCCCAGGGATGGGGACCAAGGACCCAAAGCCCAGAGAGGGACAGAAGTAGGAGTCTGCTAGGGTGGGACACAGTGCCTGGGTGTAGCTCACATATGCAAAGTGGCCAGCAAGGAGTACAGGCAGGAAGGCAGTGCCCAGGACTAGCTCCAAGAAGCAAAGAACCCAGGAGAAGTAGACAAGCCTAGAAACTACACCAAGAAGTAGCCAAGGTCAGCAAAGTGCCTGGGCAGGGAGGGCTAGTCAGGCCCAAGAAGGCTGGTGACGGAAACATCTGTGAGGCATGGGAATGGTGTAAAGGGAGGATGGAACCACATAATTAGCCCTCAAGGCAATGACCACAGACATCTGTGGTCAGGAGAGTAAGATCAGGCTTGGGAAGCGCAAAGCTACCTCCTTTTCCTTTAGCATCAAGGCATGGTGAGTGAGCGGAGGGGAGAGTACCCAAAGAGAGCCAGGGATGTATATTGGCAAGAGCTGAGTGGCCACCAGGGAGCAACGTGACCATACATGGGACTACGCACTTGTTACACCCTCCCTATAAAAGCCTTACCACACCTTTGCAGAAAGAGTAGTTTCCTTCTATAGGCTGCTCCCCACATGGAAGAACACCACCTCTAGAAACAGCTGATTCTCTTCTTCTTGCTGGTAATTCAACTGTTCTTAAACTACTTAGCAGCTGGCAATAAAAAAGGCAGAGGTGCATATGTAGGGAGAATGGAGAAGACCATGTTGTGTACTGCTGCCCAGTCCTTAAAGGATTATTATTTCTCATCCATTTTATATTTTGTTCGAAGTTTGAGAGACTTCAGCTGAGAACCTTTAAGCAAGTCACATAGTCCTAGGGAAGGGGTGCGCAAAATATGAACCACAGGTTGGATCCAGCCTGCTAATCAATTGTATGTATGCCCCTACAGTGCTCTACATAGAGCCAAGCCCCACTCAATCCTGCCTGGGGCAGCCCACATGGTGCTCCCACCAACACCACCACCCCAGCCCCAGCCAACTCACCCATCTTCCCGGGGAGCTGCTCCCACTACTGCTGCCACCTCATCCTCCTCTTGCCCCTGCTGCACTGCTCCTGGCTGCAGGTAGCACAGGGAAGCAGTGGCAGCTATAGGGATGCGTCCCAGGCATCACATGCCCAGCTGGGCTGGGGAAAAGCTGCCCCAGATGGCTCCTGACCTAGTACAGAGGGCTACAGCTCCTGGACTCCCTCCACTCACTTGGCTACCCACAGGTAGCTGCTCATCGCACCAAGTGGGTAGAGTATGTGGGAGGCAGGATGGAGATGGAGCCCTGTGCACTGGGGCAGGAGCTGCCCAGCTGCAGCTTCCCTCCACCCAGCTGTGCATGTGATGCCTGGCATGCATCCCCATGGCCACTGCTGCTTCCCCATGCAACCTGCTGCCCAGAGTGGTACAGCAGGGGCAGGAGGAGGTGGAGCTGCTGGAGGCAGGGAGAACTAAGCAGTACCCAGGTGACTACAACAGCAGCCCAGGAGGAAGCTGTGCATGCTGGCCAGAGCCATCAACAGGCATGGGGTGAATGCGAGTGGAAGCACAGTGCGAGCTGCCCTGGGCACCAAGTTAGGAATCTAGTAGTGGTGGGCCAATCAGATGCAGTGAGAAGAGAAAGCAAGAATACTAGATGAAAAGTGAGGAAAGCAAGTGGAAAGTATAATAAAAGCACAAGCTGAATTTATCCATTTCAGTATGTGCTCCAGCAGCAGGTAAAATTGCAGGTTCAAGACACAAGATCTTTAAGCTGCACTAGAAAAGGGGTTTGCTAGGTTCTGCATCAGGGGTGTTCAACCCCCAGTCCGTGGCCAGATCCAGTCCCTAGAGCAGTGTCATCCAGGCCACAGGGCTCCCTCTGGGTCCAAATATTTGGCATCAAGGGAGCAATGGAACTACTCCTATGCTGCCAAGTTTCCAGACTCACGAGACGCTCCAGGCCCTGCACAACAAATCAGGGACACAGTGTTCAATCCCAGCACACAGGACCATGTAGAGCCCAAACCAGGTGCACAGGACCAGACTGCAGTAGGTTTAGGGTGAGTGCCAGTCTGCAGGCTGGATTAAGCCCCATACTATTCATTTGTGTCTCAGAGTCAAGAACTTGAGCACAATAAAGACAAAGACAGATACAGACAACCAATCCAGTTTTGCACTGAGACAGAATGTGAGAATTATTTCCTACCAATCCTCTGAAAAAAAGAGAAATGAACCCAAGAATAAGTTATTTCAGGGAAATCCTATAAGCTGTGTTATAGGAGCAGTCCAACTAGATAATGATTAGCAGTGTGAATGGTTAAACAATTAATCATTTAATCAATAAGCCGAATGATAACCAGCTATAGCCTACCCGTTATTTAGCGTAGGGCAGGGGTCCATGGAGCCTAGCTATTAAAGTATTAATCCCACCTCCTCACTCCTCTGCTGACCACAACAAAAGCAGCCCAGCTCCCTCTCTGGGGAGCACAGAAGTCAGAGGCCACCTTGCTATGCACTGTGAGGGGCCCAATCCTGAAAATAAAAATTTAAAATAGAAAGATGCTTAAAAGAAAAGGAACTGCCCACCTGCCCTGCTCATAATGAGGCAAGCTCTGGGGAGCTGGGGCCCCAGGGAACCAGTAAGTCCTCACTATACCTCAGGGGGCTAGAAGCAGCTCAGTCCTGCCAGGACAGGCAGGGGTGAGCTGCAGGCTGGCACAGAGCAGCCCCACGTGGGCCAAGCTAGGGGTTGGCACGCCAATTAATTATTTAACTGCTGTAATTACAACATGTTAACCAGATTTTTTTTTTAAATCAGCATTTAGATCCCTAATGATGATAATGGAACCATGAAAACTGCTATGAGGCAAACTGAACTGAAATCAAAAACACGCTACAACAGCTGACCAACAGTACACTGAAAGGTACGCCAGGTTATTTGTTGCCTACCTAACCACAGATACCCAAAACCAATGGATTCCCATTTAAAACACAATTTACCATGGCTATTTTGCAACAATCCTACATGATTGTTTCAATTATAAGCACAAATATTTATGCAAAAATGGTTCATTTGTTGCACAAATCCAATACAGAAAATAAATTTCAGAAAAATGCCTGTGGTGCCAAAAGTTCAAGGTGATAATAAAGTTACAAGTTAAAAGCTAAAGGTGTTATTTGAATGTGAAGAAAGAATGCTTCCTTCTATTTAAGAAGAGAGACATATTTTTAAACACTTAACGAGAGCACAGTCGTTATTACACATATTGCAGTTTGCCGTTTAAAAGATTTCTGCCTTGTAATAGGGAGCGCTGAATAGTTCTATCAAATCAACCAGACAACTTCAGATACACAAACAAATAAATGACTGATGAAGAGCTTTTACGTAGGACATGCATTAGATAGTACAGAGTTTAAAAAAAAAAAAAATTTACAAGCCAACATTAAATACCTCGTCTTAGTTAGCCATGCAACCCGGCAATGCTAGTCAGATATGGAAGAAATACAAAAACTGAAGCAAATCTTAAAGGCATTAACTAGACAGTTATACTTAGCTGACCTACTTATTTAATAGTGATTAAAAGCAGAGTACAGCAACTGCAAAACCAGCTACAGCACCTAAGTCTGTCACCTATACCTAGTATATATCATTAACATTCTTCCAGTTTAGCCAGGCTTTACCTATTTGAGCTTTTAATTTGAGCTGTCCAAAAGAGCTTCTAGCAGCAAAGAAGCTACAATAAAGATGTTTTAGTTGTTCAAGTTAGAGGGTTAGTTACCAAGCATACAGAAGCAAACTTAAGTAGTCTTACCACATCATCTGTCAGTGTCTTGATATTTAAATGCTGAAAATTAAAGAAGAAACCAGTCATATCACTATCTTGAAAAAAAAAATGTTTTTGCATAATTAAGCAGCTTTAAAAAAAAAATCTGTAAGAGGAAATTAAACATGGTTTTAACAAATCTCTTTAAAACAATACCTAATAAGAAACAGTTTATTTCCTTGACTTGGTTTTAACTGGCTTACAAATATACAGCAAGTCACCTAAGAAAAACTATGTACATTTCCAAAGATTTAACAGGATTTTAATTAGACTCTGGCTATGCATAGAAGTTACATTTATAGTGCCACAAATAAAGTTAAGAATATACACATCCCCAGAATGTTACAAAAATGACAGAAGCATTACAGATTGAACAATAAATTTTCTGCAGCATATTTTATAGTGCTACTTTTCACACCTGCAAATCACACTTGCATTACAGGGGGTCTCTTAGCTCCCCAGCATCCCACAGTGCTTGATTTCCCCCTGCTCCAAAAGGGGGGAGAGAAAGAGGGAAGTAGGAAGAATGTGTGGTATGGACATCTTAAGCACCATCTGGGTGCTCAGCATACTCAACTACAAATGCAAGTTTGTTCGAGGCCTTACTTGCTCAAATGGCAAATAGCGCAATACAGTCCAAGTGCTATCGCAAATTATTCAATTTCCGTATACTATATTTAATTCTAGAACAGGGCTCTGCAACTTGCAAGCAGCAGGGGGCTGCAGACCCAGGGCCACACACTGCACGGACCATGGACCCAAACACTGCACACTGTGGGGTGGGAAGGCACCCCCCAGTTCCTCACCACTGTGCAAGCTGCCTACTATCTCCCCTGCTGCACAGCTGCTCCCCCCGCCCAAAACTCCAGCACATGTGGCCTGGCAGGAAATAGAATTTTTGCAATAGGGATCTGATCCCCAATCCTGCCGCTGCCAGCAGGGAGCCCAGAAAAGGTTTGTAAGTGCTACAATTGAGCTGGATGGGGCAGCAGCTCTGCAGAAAAGGACCTGAGGGTTACAGTGGACAACAAGCTGAATGTGAGCCAAGCGTGGCATTGTTGCGCAGGTGGCTGACAGCATACTGGGCTGCATTAGTAAGACTGTTACCAGCAGATCAAGGGAAGTGATTCTTTCCCTTCTATTCTGGTGAGGCTATATCTGAAGTAATTAGGGGGCTGGGACACATGACTTCTGAGGAGAAGCTGAGGAACCTGGGCTTATTTCTGGAGAAGAGACCAGCATGGCACACGAAGGTATTTTGCTTGGCACGTGCACCTCAGGACAGACAGCAGGGACGGGGCCAGGGCTTCACTGCCACAACAAGGATCAGGCTCCTTGCAGATACCCTGCTGTCCACCCCTGGCATATCAACATCTTACAACTCAAGATTGCAAGGTTTTTTAATCACTCTGCCCAAAAAAAGTTACCAACCCCTGAGCTACTGTTCTCAGTGGTGCCAGCCGACAGAACAGTCGTCTCACGTTGCAGCAAGAAAAGTTTAGGTTGGATATTAGGGGGGAAAAAACTCACTAGGAGGGTAGTAAAGCACTGGAACAAGTTAAAGAGAAAGGTCATGTAATCTCCATCCTTGGAGGTTTTGAAGATCTGGCTAGACAAAGCCTTGGCTAGTATGATCTAGCTGGGGGTGGTTAGCGAGGTTCAGTGCTTGTTTGAAAGTGGCTCTGGGAAGATCTTTTTAAGAATAGGTTTCTTTCTAGTATGGGTTGCAGTTGTTTGAGGATTTTCCATACGAGTTCGAGGGAGGGGTGATATGTCATAACCAGCAGTGTGCAATTTGTGGGGGGGTTTCTTCTGTACTGCAGCAATTCTTCACATGGTATTTGGGTGGCTCTTTCAAACGTGCAATCTCTCTCTCTGGAGGAGTGTCCTTGTTGAGTGAAAGCCTTTTTAAGATTGGTGAGGTGATAATTTCAGATTCTAGTTACCCCTTACGGAAAAGAAGCTTTTCCTTATGCCATGTGCATGCATACATGCAGCATTTATCAATAACATAATCGGCTACAAAGGCCAAAAAAGCCGATTGCCAACAACGACAATTTCCCATTTACCAGTGCCGATACTATATGGACCTACATATCCCTGCACCTCTAATACTGTTGTTGTTAAATTTAAACATTATGAAGGAACATAATTTCATTTCATTTCTAGGTGGCTGCTCTCATTTGAATATATCCATGTTTCTTCTGAAGCTGTTTTCAGCATTTCTACTATAGAAGTGGCTTAAGTGCTAGGCATCCAAAGAAAAAACAATAGGCCTCCTCAATTTCTGCCATTAATTATAGCCCAGGTTTCAGCGCCATAGTACAAAATGACTGAGTTCTCTCACTGCGCACCTTATGTATTTACATAATGACATGACAGAGCACTCTTTACCTGGGGAAGTGAGATTATGTTCAAAAAGCTTGTGCTCTCTACAAGTATCTTATTTAGTTCGCCTAAAGTTGTACATCTACCCTGCCTTCTGACTGACTTCAGACCAACACAGCTAACTACCTCTCTTCACTCCTAACCTACCAACCTTAACATTTTTTCCCATTTTAATACATGTAGAAGTTACTCTCAGTTCAAGAAAGTGAATTTCCTACACACACTATTCATTTTGATTAAAGGTAAATATAAAAATGTGTGAACCTGAACTCATTCACCAATAAAAAAAAAAACCTTCAAAACTTAAACTGAAACCTTACGGTTCAGTTCAAAGAGCCTCAACGTTCTTATAGGCTGAATTACAAATACTGTATTGTTTTCTAGTACTATGCCAAATATACTTGTTATTACTAGAAGTTATAGTTTTCAAAGATGATAATAAACCAGAGGAAAAAAATAATTTATAAATGTTTACATAGCTGCAGAGCCCCAAGATGTTTTCCTTCTCCGGACACATGAAGCATCAAGGATGCTTACAAGATCAAGGTTGTAGAATACGTAGAAACAGAGACCAAGGGGAAAGGGAGGGAAGGCACAATAATGCACCTGAAATTTTTATGAAAGTGAAGTGTATTATGGCATAATACCTCTAGATGTACAGAGGTTTGGATAACAGGACATCTACCGCAAAGAAAGTATAGACATCACGATGCTTTCCTTTCTACACAACATTCAGGCTTCAAAAGGAGACATAAAAATCTATCTCCCCTTTCATCTGTTCCATTGTGGGGTAGCTGGTACATGCCCCTGGAAAGTAGGAGAGCTGGGTTTGAAACCTTAGGCTGAGCAGGATACCTTAGCAGCTTTACCTGTGGCAATACTTAAAAACAAGTTAAAGCATAAAATGAAGGTGGCTACAAGGCTGATGTGGATCTCACCTTTAGTATCCAAAAATAATTTCCGCTGTGAGCTCGGAACTCAGCAGTTAGAAATGAAAAAAACATAGGAGCACTGGGATCAGGCACTGGAGGGAAGATTACTCCATCATACATTACAGAGACAAATTGATATGGCTTTGGAAGAGTCAAACACCATCTGAGAAACCAACAGCCAAGTAATTTCCAGTATTGGTTGGGATGTGTTAATACTGCATAAAAGGGACAGAGGAGACATCACCTGGAACTGTAAATCAATTCTGGTCACCTGTGTTCTAACGCAAACTAAAACAGGTACAGGGAGTAGATACTAGAATGAATAGAATAAAAGAGCAGGTCTTCAGACAGAAAATTAAAAGACCTTGTCTCACAAAGCAACAGAGAAGAAAATACAAGTGTTTTCAATAAATGCATCAGGGCCAAGCACCAGGGAGGAAGAAGGGCTATTTAAATAAACAAACAACAGCATCTCATAAGGATAAATGGATCTAGACTCAAGTCAAGTCAGTCCCAAGGCCATGCCAACTGTTGGGGCACCTTTGATATAATAATAACAACTTTCCTCCATTCTTCCCAGTCTTTTGCAATCCTTGTACAATCAGTAAGTTTTAATCCCATCCAGTCTTTGATGTTGGTGGTCCAGCTCGTCCTATGCCTTCCTCCTCTTCATTTAGATCTAGTCCAAGGACAAATATTTTGAGGCTGAAAGTTAGATTTGTAACCTTCTGCCCAAAGCAGCAAGGTTCTGGAACAGTTTTCTAAAGGAAGTATTGGTAGCAAGCCAACTAGTTTGAAGGAAGAGCTTGATACCAATATAACAGTGCTTGCAAGAGACTAAACTGACTTAAAAGTTCCTTGAGGTCCTACATCTCTATACGTTCTGGGGTGCAATCAGTAAAATCCTCAACGGATTTCTTTGAGGCATAGTGCTAAACCGTCATGCATTTATCTTTTTCAAAAGCTTTAACCATTGCTTTGAAAAGGTTAAGTGACTCAAGTATTTGCACGATTTTTTACATCAATATTTCCTCCAAGTAGATAAATATTTCAGTTTCTAGACGTTAACAATTTTCATGCCAAGCCAAACATACAATACCTTTAAAAAGAGAGAGGTGGTGGTTCAAAACCAAGAAACTCATATACACTTCAAAAGCAGGATTTTTCAGGTATCAACTATAATTTAAAATTATATATTTATAAGCTATGTAAGTATACAGGCAAAATATAAAACTTGATTTTTGGAGGTAACTTTAGTTCTATTCACAAATCACAGAAACCTACCATATGTACTCAAATAAAAGACTAGGTTTTTTGCCCCAATTTACACCAAGGGGTTGAAGCCCCCCTATCTTATAATCACATACAAGAAAGTCTCACTAAATACACTGTCTTTCAGTGAACTGCTGGTAAAAGCAACATGTGCTCAGCAATGGAAACCAACTATAAAATACATAGTTGGTATTGGGAAGCCTTTTTTTTTTTTGGAAAATGTTTTGTGTTCCAGGTTGAATCAAATCCAAATCCATTTGAATCATTCAAGAACCTTATGTGGCCCTGCTACCAGCAAGTATCCTTCACCCCAGGCTGGGGCTTCAGATGCTTCCTAATCCTTTGGCAGGCATCCTGCATGCAGCCCCAAGCTTTGGGCTTGGGGTTCAGATGCCCACCCCTCCCCCCCCCTGGAGTTTTGCTTGCCTTCAGCCATATGGCCACAGGAACAATCACAGAAT